TTGAGCCAAGTGGAGATCTCCAATAAACCAAAATTTGAGAGTGACACAGGAACCCCAAAATTTGGCCTCACCGCCTCACTTTCTCTCGTCACCGGGAATTACACTACATTGGTATCAACTCCCAATTTCTATAATTGTCTCCGAAGCGCCTAATTCTTCGGATGTCCACTTCTTCCATCACCCGTGGGTTAATATACGCTTTAATCGCGGTGATCAAATCCTTTTGTAATATTTTTCCTTTGGCGCCCAGGGCCGTAAATTCTATGTCGTTATCTTGAGCTATTTTTAAAAGCTGAACCGCTTTTACGAGTTCCGACTTTGTTTGTTGTTTACGCTTTGGTGTCGGTAAAAGAATGTCATATCGTTTAATAAAATCGGCCAAGAACGATTTTTTCAAGCGCCTAAAGCCCGAAAAAAAAACAGGTTGGCGTTGCGGTCTAGTAGTTTCTGTATCCATACCTTTTTTATATGTAGATTTTTTAATTTAAACTCATTTTTGCTTGAAGACCCAGACCAAAAGCATAGTCTCTTTGTAACCGTAGTAGTAGAGACTGGTACGCAATGGACACGCTCCGACCTTCCATCATCGTTCCTTTTCGCGGTAATCGGAAACTAAGTCACGGCAAAATTGGAACGTGGGTTTTTAAGGGCGAGATGGTTTCAGATGTTTTCGAGTTGCCGAGGGTGAAATGGCTTCATAAAATTTTAAAAAGTGGGTCGCAGGTGTTGGGGGGTTTCGATTTTGCTGTGTTTTAGTTTGGGTATTTTGGAGTAAACTGCATGGGGGACGATGATTGAAGGTCGGTTGGGGTCTTGTGCGTACCGGTCTCTACTACTCATAATGTGTGCTCACATTTTATGCCAAGCCGCAGAAAATTCAACACTCAATAAAAACACAGAATGGTACATAGCACTTGATGAAAAGTTCCTTGTACAGAGTGAAATTTTACGGTATTAGTAAAGGCTTAAGAAGAACCTTAACTTGGGCCCTCCGTTTCACGAATTTTTCTTTGTACATTTCCTTGTGTAAAAACGAAGGACGAGTAATATTTATTAAAACTAGGCCCTATTTTATATATTGCAAAATATGTTGTAACATACATGTACACGGATAGCGTTTAAATATTAAATTGCGGTATGCAGAAAGACCGAAAAATTTGCAATACAGACTTTCTGTACGGTTTTTATCTTGCCTTTTTTTTCTTAAACGCGTTTTGCCCATTGCGCGTCGCCCTGTTCGTTTGACGTTTTAGCGCGTCTATAGACTAATCCAATCAGACTCTACCTAGTTCGTAAGTGGCTTCGTCACAGAGGCGGACGCGCCAAGACTTGCAGGCTCCCTCAGTTGGGCGATCGCTGAAGTTGTTGCGTTAACTTCCGGTTCCATAGTTCCATGTAAACGGTGATCAGTGTGCAGTGCACGTGCAGTGGGCCCAGTTTCAACTGAAGTGACGTCACACCGGATAACTGCGGTGGCACCGCACTCACACGCACATTTGTCAGCTTGACGCGAGCGTGTATTTGGCAAATCACGACATCCTATTGGTCAAAGAGGAAAGGAACACGCGCGTACCACCTGCCCACGAGTGTTACACCACCGAAGTAATGTCTTCTTACTATTACAATATATTAGCTAGAAAATTCTCTGCACAAGGAATGGCTCGCGTGCACACGCTTCCCATCTTGTTCTTTATTCTTCTGGTGCGTTATTACATGCACGCCTTTTTAGGTGCCCGGACGCCGACACCAAGCTCCCTGTCACCTGCAGTAAACAACAGGACTGGCCATCACCAGCTGACGCCGGAAATGACGAAAGAGTCTTCAAGAGCCGAGAAGAAAAGCTTGGTAAAAGTAAAAAGGAACCCAAGATGAAGAGATTCTGAGCTTCATCGTGCTGGAAAAGTAACGATTGAGTATTACTAGTCATGGATCGAAGACCAGTAATTCAATGGCCTTTACGGGAATTATATGATTTTTTAACGATACTGTTCATCGAGTACGGGTACCTCGAACGCTGGAATACAATTTTATATCGCGATTCAGTGATCGATGTTGCATGCAGGATGACGGTTCAGGTGTCGCGGAATAAACAGGAAGGTCTTGAAACCAAGACTAGGAATACATTGGCGTTTCGCGTTCGTAAATTGGCTAAGACCTGCGAATGTGTAGGTCGAGTATTGGTCTGCGAGGATTGACTTTCTTCTACAGTTGTATTTCAATGGTCGTAACGGGATTCACTGGATTTTGTTTCATTGAGTACTGTTAATCGAGTACGAGTATATCGATACTCTAGTATGATTTTATTCAGCGTATTTTTTGCAGCTTGAGTACAAAAACTGTTGTTCCAGTACAAGTACTTGGAAATTCGAGTACAAGTAAGGCGCGAGTGCTTAAAAAATAGTGCCTGAGTAGTACTACAACACTGCTTATCATCCATCTTTGCACGCAAAGTCAGCGTGAAGCTTTGGTCCTCTTAGGTTGCAAAGAACAAGCATCACAGGTGATGAAGTGAACCTATTACATGTATATGACAATGTCGATTTATTATGTAATGTAGTGGATCTATTTTGGATGTTGTATATCTATTATATGATGTTGTCTATCAGTTGCGCGATGTAGTCAACCTATTAGGTGATCTTTATCATTCCATGATGTTGTGTTGTCAATATATAAATTGTGCAACCTTCGAAAGTTGAAGTATACAGCATTTTGAAGTTGAAGTGGGCCTATAACGTTAAAAGTTTCTTTAAAAAGTCGTTTATAAAAATTTAATCACGACAGTGAAAGTTGAACAAAACGTTTGCCTTGTAAGGGAAGGTTAAACTTGAAGGATCAACTACAAAAGTGCAGTGCAAAGCACTTAGACAAAATACGATGGAGTCAATTCAAAATTCATTGTCGCGCAGGCGCTTGGGGCAGAGTTGTGTATGCAGAAGATTGCAGAAGAACAAACTGACAGGTGTATGTTCCAGTGCACTTGGTCACATAATGCACATAATAGCTGAGAGCCATTTTTTTTTGTTTCAAAAATCTGAAGCTCGCGCTCCTCTCTCTATCCGTCGCGAGCAGAAGCACCCCCTCATCGGTTGACAAAAGCCGTGTTGGTCGGGAGTGTTAATTGTGTTGGTAAGTTTTCGACCGTGGTGTGTACATTTCCTGCTCTATCGTGAACCACCGAAGTTCATTTGCGACCAAAGGAGCCTCCGTCACTAAAAAAAAAAAAAAAAATAGCTCCCTATCTTGGTCGAACTCAAGGCCCATAACAGTACAGCTCTGTTTGGAGGGGGGCGTCATGTGCACCCCTTCACAATGGTCGAGTTCGGGCGTCTGTTCTTAACACGGGTTTCTTGTTCTTGCGCTCGAACGGCGGGAGCACGACTCAAGAACACTGTTCTCGGAACAGGATCACACACCACCTTCTCGTCAGGGTTTTACAGGAATACACGGAAAAACTCGTGATATTTTTATTATTGAACAGCTGCAAAAAGTAGAGAGATTGCTTACAAAGCCACAGACAATGGGAATTTTTGTAATGATTGACATCGTAAAACAACGTTTATCCATCAGCAGTATTATATTGGCACATTAGGCATGCCTTAATGCACAACGTGAAAAATATAAAAAACCAAACTGTGTTGATCATAATAGTAATCGACCTTGCTGAGTTTACCTGCCAGTATGACAGATTATTTTGTCTCACCATTTGAGCAGTCTCCTTTGGCTGGTTGTGGTCTGTTCCACCCAGTTCCTTTTCTGGATTTTCCATTTCTAGCATCATTTTACCGGTGATAGCGGCGGAAACACAATGAAAATTGGCCTCAGACCAACAGCGCTGAGCATGTACAAAATGTACACATAGGGCGTCAGTGAGACTCGCCTGTTTTATTATTAATGATTAAATTGTTTATGCGTATGTAAACGAATTTGAAATTAGGTACATGCGGGCGATGGCGCTACGTTCTCATCGCAGTAGCACCTATTAAAAGAACGACCTTATCTTCTCGTTGCAGATATAAATCTCCACTGTCAAATTAGCAAGCGCAATCATTCTGTGGAATCAACATGAAACGTGCAGCAGAGAAAGGGTCCCAAGACGTAGTTAGCTTTCCCAAAATACATGTAATTCTTTTGTCTAAACGATTAGGCCCTACCTCTTTTACAAGGATAAACTGCTCTTTCCTTTAACTTTCTGTAGGGCCTATTGATTTCCATTCCTTATAATATACACCAACACATGGGCGAATCTTTTTTCCGTATTTTAATCAAAGCTAGTTTATGGTCTGCTTGGCACCCAACATTTTTAAGGTACAATCAGCTCTTGTATTGGGAATTATAAAATTTAAGATATCCAGTCAGTAAAATTAATTCTGTAGGTTATTTTTCGTGTAAAAAGTCCAGCAGTGAACATATAGAGTTACATCCCGGTATCAACTTTGCAAAACAGGGCGGCAGGGTGTAAAACAAAAACGGGAGTGAATTTTGAGAGCACACACTAAATACAGGTTCCATAAACCCAAAGCAAAAGATTCTAAGGATTCCCTCCCACATGCATTTTCGATCCCATCTCAATGCACATCCGTTTTAATACTGCATCAAGTACATGGACACTGCACAATGTTGTTCCTTCAAAACAAATAATTCGCTATCATAAAGAAATTTTACCGAGGCTCAAAGTGACCACCCGCGTTTCAGGTGCGTAGCTGCTTTTTTTTTAAGATGGGGGTGCCAGTATGAATAAATTTTTCCCCCGTTTTAATAGTAAAAATTAAGCAGATTAAAGGCGCCTTCCCATATGCGCGTCAACACTTGCGCCAAGCGTTGCGTATCTGTCAAAATCGCTCCCTGAGTGATTTTGACGGTCGAACGCAACGCACACGCCTGTTACGTTAATGGCTCGATTATGGTGTCCGTGAAAGTGAAACGCATCGTGTACGCGAAGCAGCCAATAAACGTACATGGAAAGGTGCCTTAATGGCAAATTTGGGAATCACGCATCTTTGGATCTGGGCAGTCATTCCGTACACGTATACTTTTAATAAAATTTCCGTTGGAAGGTGAGGGCATAGGCTTATCTACGGATGACGTCACATTATGCACTTTCCCTAGTCTCGAGCCATCGGGGAACACGTCATTAGTACACAGGTCTCTCGTTGAGGAGAAACAGATGGGGACACCGCGGAGACGCTTGGGTTATTACATAATCGGTCGATTGTTATCACAGTATCGGCTGGTATTACATTATCGGCCGATTTTTAGTACATTATTGACTAGTATTACATTATTGACCGATTGTTACATCCTCGGATGTAACAGCCTACTTGCAATCAAACAGGATTTAACTTTGTCAGATTCTTGGGTTGTTTTTCCCTCCACTTAAGCGAAGCGATAGACGGCTTGAATGCAAACCTCAATACATACCACAGTGTTGACGATAGTACAAAAAACGAAAGAACTCCTACACTGTAAAAAATAATTCTGTAAAATTACAGAAAATGACAGGTCAACTGAGTTGCCAGACTTCTCCCGTTTGTTTAATTTAGTTTTATTTTGTAAGGTATAATACATGAGTTTTGTTGCGTTTACAAGCACGTTTGTTTTATGATATACAAAGGCAACTATATTCTCATAAAACTTGTCCTCTGTCAAATACCAGCACACCTGTTTTCAATAACCCATTTAATATCGATTATTTCATGTAAACGAAAATGTTAATTTTTCCAAAAACATGTGGGATGTTTTCTTTAAAATCATCAAATGTTAATTTATTGTCTGCCTTTATTTGTTCTTGCAATTCATGCTTGTTTTTTCCATTGATCTGAACAATTTTTTGTTGAACTAGCGGTTGTTTTAGGATTAAACAGTTCATATGTATTACTTTTTACAAAGCAATGTCAGTCAATTTGCATGTTTTTATAATATTTTTACACACAACGTCAGTAAAATTAGAAACACCACAACACATCAAGGAACCGTATTTTAATCTCTTTCTAACTGTATTTTTACAAGCCCAAAAGTGGAGGCAAGAACAGGAAAAATGTTAATTTGAAATATGCTGACATACACTGAGACTCTAAAATTAAGAAAAAAATAAATTGTTTGAAAAGTAAAGTAATAAAGAAATAACATTTTACATGTACTTTTTCCATGCCTGAAACACGTTTCTGATTTGAGCATTTACTGACACGCACTGGGCGTTTGCTAACCACTATGAAAGTACATTTGGCCATGTCGAATAGAAATAATTACCCGACACACACTGGGTGCTTCAAAATCCAAATACATTTTCCATGTACTTTTCTACATGACTGGAACAGTTTTCTTAACTTATACTGGGTGTCTAAAAAACCAAAATTTAAAACAAGGCATGTACCTTTGACCATGTGGGATTGATATAAATACCTGACACGCTGGGTGTGTAAAAGTCAAAAATAAAAGAAAAGAAAAACATGCTTTCCATGAACTTTTTTCTAGAACTGTTTCCTGACAGCACTTGGTGTCTGAGTATAAAAATACATTTTACAAGAACTTTGTCCACGTCTGATTTGAGCATTTTACTGACACACTGGGTGACTGATAACCACTATGGAAAAAAAAGATTAAAATTACCTTTGGCCATGTTGGATCGAAATAATTACCTGACACACAATGGGTGCTTCAAAATCCACACAAAGAAAAAACACATTTTCCATGTACTTTTTTCATTACTGGAACAGTTTTCTTAACTTACACTGGGTGACTGAATTAAAACATGACCATGTTTGATTGACACACTGGGTGTCTGAAAATAAAAAAAAGAAAAAAATGTTTTCTATAAACCTTAGTTTTTTTAATTTCTGGAAAGATTTCCTGACACACAATCGGTGTCTGATAACAAATATGACGAAAAAAAAGTATCTTCAACCACGTGGCATTGAAATAATTACCTAACCTGTGTCTGAAGATCAAAATAGAGGAAAAACAACGTAATTTTGTACTTTTTAAAATTCTGGAACCCCTTCCTAAGCTGACACACACTCAGTGTCTGATAACTAATATAAAAAGCATTTTACATGGACTTTGCTCCATGAAAGAAAGACAAAATATCTTCACACATCCTGGGTGACTGAAATAAAAAAGTATTAAAAAAATACATGTACCTTTTCTTGGTGAGATTGAAATTATTTGCTGACACTGGGGGGGGTCGAAAAAACCTCCAAAAATGACTTTCACTTGTTCCTTTTGCCCATGTCTGATTCGAGCACTTTACTAACACACACTGGATGTCTTATATAAAAAAAATACATTTACAAGTACCTTTGACAATGTGGGATCTAGATGATTACCTGACACATACTGGGTGTCTGGAAATCAAAATAAATATGGAACACTTTAGATGTTGGCTTTCCCCATGTGATGGAAATATGGCAAAATGAATTTTGACAAAACAAATAGCTCTGATATGTGCCAGGATTTAATGTACCTCAGTCAAGTCTTACTTAAAATGTCCAGTCGGTTTCAAAGTCCTTGATGGCATTCACGAAAGAGAGCACCTTGCTGTTGGCAGTGTGCACTGCACGCCCCTTCTCTCTCTTTCTCTTAGCTTTCGTACCCCTTTCAGGATTGATACCAAGGAGACAGCTGTGGATGAAAAACTATATTCACTATAACTATATTCACATGACTGAAACACCTTCCTAAACATACATGTACATGTAACTTTGTTCCTTCTTGTGGTGTACCTGACAGGACCACAGATCTCTAGTTCTCAGAACCACACTTCTTTTAGATTTGTTCCATCAAAAACCTTACACAAAGCCTAGCCTCCACCTTACCAAAAACTGGGATTATCTGCAACGGATTGCACAAAATTTAAAGAATCAAGTGGGTGATCCCCATTACATGAGCAAATCCCAGTGCCCACAGATGTCAAAACTTTGCAGCATGGTGGTGAAATACACAACATGCCAAACCTTTTCAAATGTGCATTTGCCAGTCAACACATCATGAGGGTGTTTCAAACCAATGAAACATTTATTACATGTAAATACCATGACTACCAAGTTGTAAACAAGTATACCATTTTTTGTATAGCGCTCATTTTAACTCAAAGAATATTTTGCATACCGCTGCACAGGTTCAAGAGTGGCTTGTTTCGGATGCCTGGATACTCCGCATTGAAGTTGAAGAAGGCAGCCACAAGCATGCACAGAGCCTGGAAGGGTGATGGGATTGATCTGTTGACAATGATTGTCTTGTCAATGGCAAGCATAAACGTCTTTGCAGTTAAAGCAGATGAACCTGGCATGAATCAAAAAAGCGAAATTAGGGTTATTACATAGTATTTGTTCAATGTCAGGGAAGGTCAAAAGCTAGTGAAAAACCAATTCCACTTTGAGGAGGGGTCAAATTCAATGACTGTATTTAGACAAAAAACAAAGAGGTAAAGCACATGGGGCGACGTTTGTGGGGTAACCCTGTCAAAGTGAACCCCACCCCTTCCCACTCTTGCACAGAAGAACCAGTTGCATTTGGTCTATTGCCGATCTGACATAGGCATGGAGGTTACCCATAGACACATAAACAGCTAAAATTTATGCTTCTTTTTTCCTGAGCCTAAGGGATTGGCCACTTCGAAAGCATCCTGGAATAATACCAACTTTAGGTCAGTGTCAGATGAATTTAAGAACTTATTGCCTTTGAACACTTTTCCATCCTTGAAATCTCCTAAAATATCTACTTGTTGAGACTCAGGGTTGCTGTTGGTAAAACACAGCATGTTTGCTTGAATAGAAGGGTCTTTCAGGAGCGCCTTCAAAGTTTCTTTCAAAGGTACATTGTGAAAGCAAATTGATTTTTGCCTACTGTCCTTACCCAGACACAACGACACAGGACTTACATATCTACAGTTGTCTTGGTAGTACATTTTCCTTGTGTATGCCCACCTCAAACTACCTGACTGTTTCTCCACGGCTTGTTTCCAGTAATTATTTGCAAGTAACTCACTGACCACTTGTCTAACACTACTTTCTCCGAGTCCTTCTTCAAACAATGTTTTCAACCTGGTACTCTATAGCCAAATCTTGCATGTTATCTAGTTCCTCAACAACAAGCTAAATTGTCCTTTCAGGTACATGACACTTAGCTTGAAGTTTCAAAAGGAAAAGTGCCAAATTAAGTGTGACACTTTCAGTTGGGACAAGAGTATCCAATCCAGTTTCACTTTCATCAAAAGTCATGCCTGACTTGTCAGATGGCTTCTTGTCACTTTGCACATTTCCAATTTTTTGTTCATCCACAACAGATGGGTCTACAAGAAAATATTCTGTGGCTGACCTTTCCCGACGATTTCGGGAAATGTGTGAAGCTAAAGAAGACTTATTACTGAAGCATTTTGAACAGCTAGAAAATGGACATTCAACTCGTATTCCACAGTCAATATGATGCTTCATGTGCTTAATCATATCACTTTTGTTTTGGATTTTTTTTGTGACTGCTGTGGACTTCGCATTTACTGGGCGTATCTATCAGTTCCATACCTCTTAATTTACATGGTATGTTCGGTATTTGCTGTGATCGCAAGTCACATGACTGTTTAATGAGGAATATGAGGCAAATGATCTTGAGCACTCTGGGACACCACAAGGGAATCTAAAAGTGTGAACACTTCTGTGAACTCGCCGGTGTGCAGTATATGTCTTCAAGGAGGATGTTGCCTGTGAACAAAACTGGCAAATGTACATGTTTACTATTAAATGTACAAGTGCATACCTTTGGTCTCAATTAGGTCCAGGTGAGTGTCCGTTATCTTTAACCCACCGTCGTGACCGTTCCTATGAAGGAAACAAAATTTAAATTTACTGAAACAACCATCAAGATAATTTGGCAAGGAGTTCCATACAAAGTCTACGAGACCAGTCTAACAAATTCAAAGTACTTTTTTCCGAAAACGTTTAGGCCTAGCCTATAATTTCACAGTGCAAAAACTGACTGGCATTTATAATTCACTATCTACACAGGAAAATTAGTTAACTTGTTATGTCATGGAACTATTTTCTGATTTTGTTTGTGTCTTTCGGGGTACACTTTATTGTACATGACATGTAGATATAGCCTAGATTAAATCATAACTTAAGAGGGAAGGGGGATTGAATAGGGAGCCGGAAGAAAAAGAAATTGCCCCCACCCCCTGGAGGCTGGAAGAATCCTGGCAACGCCAATGTCCACCGCTGTGTTCATAAAGCCAAGTAGGCCTGTATGCCAAAAATTTATGGCATGACACATCCAAAATGAACGTTTTTCAAGAAATCCACATCAATTTGTACTGGCTAGGGTTCGTATTATGGTAGGGCCTATGCGCGAAGTACATGCAGCCTACATGTACTACCGCAGTAGGCCTAGTACGTATATAGGGCACTGTAGGCCTAAGGGTACACCCTCATATTTAGGCCAGAAATATGTCCGCCGAGCTCATTAATAAAAGTTATACACATCGAAGTTTTCTATATTAGAGGGTCCTGAGAGCCATGGAACTGAGGAATTGAAGAAATATGAGACTGGACCTCTGGGCCGGACTCAGGGCTTCCAATTCTGAGCAATTTGGATGCAATCGGGTTTGAAAGTGGCACTATTTGAGCCGTTTTGCAGAGGGAGGGTTTTTCAAAATGGCTACTTTTCTGGACAGGGC